AGGTCAGCAGGCATTCCACTGGGACCAACTCTCTGGGTAATCCAACATCCACGCCTGGTACTAAGATAAACCTAGGAAGTTCAAACATATTGTTAATATTGTAAACAACTGCATTGCTCACATATTTTATTAAATATATTTTGGTGGTAGATACCAAAAGTATCAAAATATGTTAACATATGTTTATATGCAAAGCTTCTAGACTATGAAACGAGTTTTTATCATACTTTTGTATTAAGAACAAATGTTTTGCATTAAGTGCAATGAAGATTCTGTCCTCAAATCTTAAATAGATACTGGTGAATCACAACATCAGATACATCCTAGTATATCATTAAGCACCATAATGCTTAGTATGTAGAAAAATATATATAGCTGCTGCATTCAATCTGTTACTCTATGATGCTCACAAGTAATTGATAAAGTTGAGTTATAGCCTTATTTTAGCACCTAATTGCCATTAGCAAGTGTTTCACAGCTTGTGAGACTCCCAGTATCATTGAAAAGTGTTGCTAAAGTGGAGAACTGAGAAGTATCTAAAGAGACAAAGTGTTCATCTTTTTTTTTTCTTCTCCCACGCTAACCAGAAAAATGAACGAAGTTTTCACAATGGTTTTAGTACAGCAGAAAAGCATTTTAAGAGTACTTGCTAGCAGGTTATTACTAAGCACAGTAGTGCTTAGTATGTAGAGTTGAGCCGAGAAAATAATGGCCACTGCATCGAATCTGTTACTCTATGATGCTTACAAATAACTGCTAAAGTTGAGTTATAGCCTTATTTGAGCACTTAATTGCCATTATCGAGTGTTTCACAGCTTGTATAACAGTAATATTATTCTGTTTTTTTACCTCACATATTTTTGTGGGGAAATCATAAAAACGAAAACTGCGACTTAGAAGTGAGTTCAGTTTATAAGCATATATTATTTCCATGTTTCGTAAATAATAGTTTCATTTCTGGTCGCTAAGTAGCAGCACAAATTGTTTTTGTATAACAACCGTTTGTGATTTTTCATTGCACAAACATGATATCTGCCAAAACAATTTCAGCAAAAATAGATAAGGAAAGAAAGAATAATCTAAATTAATATTCAAGATATAAAGGTGATCAAGTATTTATGCAACTGACAGATCTGTGTACGTGTTATTGATGCCTGAATTTAGAAATACCAGTTTCTTAATTATCAAAACAATACATTCCATAACGGTCTACTTTTCTTCAAATTGTCAGTGAGGCTGATCCTGGCAGCTGTGTGTATATGCGTGGTATCATATTTCATGGTCTTGGGTCTGTATGATGTCCTTCCTATTAATTGACATGACCTTAACAAGTGGTGGAGCCGATTGTATGTACATGCAGTGAGTTGGGGTGTAGTTGCAAGGCATGAGTTCTGTAGTATCGCCTTAAAGTCGGTCCAGCGCTCCGGGGTACTTGTACCGTCCTGGAGGACCCATTCCAGCTTCACTGCCCCACACCCCCCCATGTAATCCAGAATTAGATAAATTGATATGATATTAACAATATATTCAATATATTACTATTGAATTATAAAAATAAATTACTAAATTATTAAAAAACAAATTTTCACTTATCAACCTACTTCAATGAAATTGTTTAAAAAAAAGGGAAACAAGTAATAAAAAATTGCAAAAATTAAGTATGATATAGGTATGGCAATGCCAAAAATTACAGAAACAAATACATCATGAATGGAAATAATAGAGACATATAGCGAATTAAAGTATAACATTTGAAAGTAATATAAGACTGACGTCTTAGTCAGAACAAATAACCAAAAAATAAATCATTCCCAGTTTGCCACTGAAGAAGACAGGTCAGCCTTTCGAAAGCGCTCAGGTTTTAGAGTATTGTGTGAACCAAAAAATATTATACCAGTAAACCTCAAAACGAGAAGCAACTTGAGAAACCGTATTTTCCTAAACAAATTGTGATTCTATTGATAGTGGTGTTACGCCAGTTTTTGAGAATTTCGCAGAGTACAGAAGACAAAATAAAAGAAAGCACACGTTAAATTAACTAAATTGTTTGTTTGTTAAACAGAAACTTACACAATGGGCTAAATGTACCTTGCCCACTACGGGTATTGAAACACGTGTTTTAGCATTAGAAGCCTTCAGATACAGACTGATTTATTAATTTTATGTTACCACGCTTTATTAGACATTTAATGCCCATGTTTTGAGTTTAAACTTTATATACGTGTTTTTAAAAAGTGTTAACCATAACATCTATACTAAACTAAGTGGCTATGATATCTACCACTTTCTAATTGGTTTAAAAACCAAAGTGTTAACCATAACATTTATACTAAACCAAGTGGCTATAATATCTACCACTTTCTAATTGGTTTAAAAACCAAAGTGTTAAACATAACATTTATACTAAACTAAGTAGCTATAATATCTACCACTTTCTAATTGGTTTAAAAACCAAAGTGTTAACCATAACATTTATACTAAACCAAGTGGCTGAGATTTCTACCACTTTCTAATTGGTTTAAAAACCAAAGTGTTAACCATAACATTTATACTAAACCAAGTGGCTATGATATCTACCTCTTTCTAATTGGTTTAAAAACCAAAGGGGAAATTGTTTGCAGTTTAAATAAACAAAATGTTAAGATTTATTCAGTTAATTAATTCTTGTTTTGAAGTCGCGACTTTCTCACAATGATTTGACAGCAAAATATTCTGCAGGGGTTAAGCGAAATCCTTTTAATAGGGAGGATGTATGACTATTTTACATAATACATTCAAATAAAGTACTCTTGTCTCACTTACCTCCGGTAGCTGAGCAGTAAGTTTGATAACTTATAACGCTAAAAATGGAGTTTCCATAACCATTGTGTAATTTGCGCTTCACAACAAAAAACAAATCCTTGTCTGACAGAATAGTGGGATTTGATTGTTACTTTTATAGCGCAGCCACTGCCTCAAATTGCGGAATGTGTTTTTTCGGAAAGGGGACACAAACGACAACTATCGGATTCATAGTCTGGGCAGGTTAATCACTAGGTCGGCCACGTTCGACCCGACCATTGTAGAGATGTCTTCATTGTATGCACTTAAGAATTTTCTCTGATTGATTACGATACGAATCAGTTAAAGGTATCGTCCTCTTGGTTACGTATATAAACTTATAATAATTACTCGTCAGTAGTTAGTAGAAATATATATTTTTTCTGTTCTCTTTCTGTAAGGAAGTTGATTTCCGAGTAAGGGTTAAAATAATCTGGTTTTTAAAGATTATCCTGAGTTTGTGATTTTAATAGCGTTAATATATTATTATAAGTTACAGCTTTTATAAGAAGGTTTGTTTGTAATTAAGTACAAAGCTAGCTACACAATGGACTATCTGTGCTCTGCCCACCACGGGTATCGAAACCCGCATTCTAGTGTTGTAAGTCCGCAGACATACCGCTATGCCACTGGGAAGGCTTTACAGCAAGGAAGAATATTTTTAAAACACGTACGACGTTTCGATCACTGGTGCGATCATTCTCAAATACACATGTTTTAACTGTAAAGATACAGCAAGTAAACTCAAAACGAAACTTTTAAAATTGTATTACTTTAGTTTCTGGGAGTTTTTCTTTATTGTTGAATTATGCAACAGAAATAGAGAATATTGTTATGTTAAATTATTGTATTTGTTTTCTTTCTTGACATATTATATACTACCTGGAGTACTCGTCCCTCGGACAGAAGTTATTCAAATTCATGATTAATGACAGGCTATCTTAAGACATTAAAAGTTGCCTTCCCTTATACGTAATTGTAAAAAGCGCAAAAGCGCCCATAAAAACTACAAAACACAAAATGTGAAACCCGCAAATATGCATGTATCTCCACATGGACCCAACAAACCTTCATGCCAAATTTGGTGAAGAACCATCAACAAGGTGCGAAGTTGTGGTAAAAAAACGCCAATACAAACCGCAAAACTGATAATTTGTATGTTTCCCCTCACGGACCGAATGACTCTCCATAAAAATTTTGGTAAAGATCCATTCACACCCTGTGAAGTAGTTACCTGGACATACAACAGACAGTACTATTATATATATAGATTACAAGGATGATGTTGTGTTAGCTTCTGCGCTTTTTACCATTTTCAGCCTATTCTTTCGAATGGTTCAGAATGGTTTATGTCTTGTGCTAATACAAGGTGTCTTCTGTTTTATACACTCGAGTATAGGAAAGTGAATTATATGCAGTTGGGTTAACAGTTCTTAAAATTAATTGTACACTAAAGCACATACAAGTTATCTTGAACTTTTCCATTTGATTTAATTTAAATTTTCTAAGGTGCACTTACTGTTTGACCTAGAAATAATTTATTGGTAGCAGCATATATTATTCCATCGAAAGGACAGTTTAAGTTATTTTTTGGCGACTCGTACTTTTTTTTAGGGGGAGGGATAAACATATAACTTTGCCTCCTAATGGTCACCATGAAATAAGACATCGTTATAAACTCGATATAATGCATGCGGGTGGATATTTTTATATAAGTTTCTAATTCTCAGATACGTAATGGATGCTTGATAAACAAAAAATATGAGGAAATTATATTCTGACAGGAAAATAATTTTGTTTGTTTGAAATTAAGCACAAAGCTACGCAATGGGCTATCTGTGCTCTGCCCACCACGGGTATCGAAACCCGGTTTCTGGCGTTGTAAGTCCGCAGACATACCGCTGTACCACTGGGGGGCTGGAAAATAATAGACACTACATTTGATTTAGAAAATTATCTATTTACTTATACTACTAAGTTGTTGTTGTTGTTGTTGTATTTTCGTGTTAACCATATAGCAATAAAATTTGGTAAAATACGCTCGAGAACAGTCTATATGGAAGAGAGTAATTTAAATCAGTCACTCTAGATCGATTTTCTCGCATCCTTAGGACTAAAAATTAGCCGTCAAGTCTGAATGGTTAAAAAACACAACATTTCTACTTCTACCAGACTCTTACCTTATCCGTTATTTGGCTTAGTTCCACAGCCACATCTCCTCCGGAGTTTCCAATACCAACGATCACTATTCTTTTGTCACTAAATCCATCCGGTTTTTTGTAGCTATGGGTATGAAGTACTTTACCTTTAAACTTTTCAATACCCGGGAAAGTAGGGACGTGAGGATACACGTGATGTCCGATGCACACCATTACTCCATCAAAGACGTCATCAAAGATTTGGTCTTCTTCAATGTTCCGAATGGCAACTTTCCAGCGGCCAGTTTCATCAAAGTCATGGTTTTCTTCAACTTTTAGGATCTCGTGTCTAAAGTGAATGTGTCGAGCCAGGTCGAACTCTTCAGCATACATTTCAATGTACCTGATCATGTAACTGTTGTGCATGTAATTAGGAAATTCCTTCGGAGGAGGGAAGTCACTGTAGGCATTTATTTCTTTACTGGTGTTGATTATTGTAGACTTCATCACTGAAGCAACGCCCTCCAAGTCATTGTCTCGATAACGCCACAGACCACCTAGGTGGTCAGTCTTTTCATAACAGAATGGTTGGAGACCTTCTTCCAGGCATGCTTTAATGGAGGTGAGTCCACTAGATCCGGCTCCAATAATACAGATTCGTCTATTTTCCGTCATGTTAATAAGTTGTTCTAGTAAAGCTTTATTCAACGTAACTTATTCCCATATCAGTGACCGTGTTTTGATAACAATGGTCTTCATGTGTACTTCTGGTCAGATCTGTATATTGAATTAGTTATGTTACTTACTAAATAAAATGTCAAAAAAAACGTCATTCATTTCTTAAGTATAATTGGCTGATACGTTAAATCTTGTTATTAGTTCCACATGTTATAAACAAATACCTAATATAAATTTCCTCAAACTACAAAAGATCAAGAAATAATGATAAACGATACATAATTTTAACATAAGATCATTTTCCTTATCACATTTCTATAATAATTCAAAAGTAAATTTGATTATTATATTTAAAAATCTGAAAAAGAAGCTCGAAATATCATGTGTCTACTCATCCATCGTAAGTACATGACCCCAAACAATACGAAAATGTAAATTGAATTTGATGTGAAATTTTTGAAATATGTTATGAAAATGTATTAAAACACTACAATAAAAATGAAAAACAAATCTGACTTAACTAAACTATTTGGGGGTTGTATACATATGAGTTTAGATAAAAGTGCAATGCCAGAATACCAAACAAGCCCGAGATTCTACTTTATGAAACACACTCTTTCGCTCGAGTGTACAATCAAACAACACCAGAAAACAGATATATCAAAATTTTAAAAGTTCTGCATGCTAAAAAACTTGAGATTAATCGTCGCGATTTAAAACTTGTCAATAACGAGGTCGCTTTGTGTATTTAACGTTTGAGTTTTCTTTTCAGGGCCGACTTTAAATTTCTAATCAACTTTGTTGAGCAGTTTTGTAAAGTTATATGTGCGTCTAAGCTGCTGAAAGATTTTGAATTTCTCTTAATTGTGTTGCCTGTTTACTTTTTTTTAATCCATCGGGCTAACTGAGCACCAACATTCAAAATCTGTTGAAACCACTATTGGTAAGTAGGTCTATATGCCAGTTAAGAGAAACGTATTAAAAATGTAAGATATTTTGCCCCAATTGCTGCTATTATAGGTTTCATGCCCCGGCAAATGTGGCATTAAACATCATACTTAAGCTATCGTGGTCTCTAGGCTGATATCATTATTTCAGAATTATATAAAAATATAAAATATCAGAAAACACGAAATGTGAGTACTGGAAATAGAAAGAGCAAAAAAAAACCATCGATTTGATCACCTTCTGTAAAATGTTTAAATCCTTTAAAAGCCTTCTTGTTATACCCATTTCTCAGTATTACAGGAACTACTGCCGTGTAGGTTTCTGCCACTCTGTCGAGAAATTTCGTCCCCTCCCTCACCCCCCAGTGAGTCAGCAACAAACTTGAAGACTTATGACGCTGAACTACGAACACATTGTTCGTTTATGCGCAAAAACAAACTTGATGTTCATTATAATTGTGTCCTTTCTTATCGTCTTTGTCTTTCAAGCCTTTGACACTAATTGTTACTTGCATGAGGATCTCTGGTAACTCTTAAAATATTCAGTTATTTTAATTACAAATTGAAATGCATGAAATCAATTTGCTTGGTTTTCAATACTGTTTTTTTATTTATTTATTTACAGAAGTCGCACTATCAAATCATATTAAACTGGAATTGATTTAAGATTCCTTGTTCTTTAGAACATTTTTATATTTGTATTTTGCATCTTCCGATATCCTTTACTCCAAACATTTGACCAGAGGAAAGAAAGCCAAGTATCAGCACTTGCCGCCACATCGGCTTTGAACAGCTCTTTAAATAGAATGGTATCACCTATTGAAAACCGGAACCTTCGACTCGCAGCCAGTTATGCCCGGACAAAGAAAGGGCTTACAATGAAAGGGCAAGAAAAATTATTTCATAATATATTTCTCACACAGACAGGAATATAAAAATATACCAAATGTTACATTAATAACCGACTTACCACATCTAAGAAGCATACGAGAGGCAGTAGTAGAGTATTTACATTTGGATCATTGATTTCAAAATATTCGGTTAATACAAGTGTCGGTGTCCGAATAACGTCACTGAACAATTAAGATGTCAAACTCGAATGAAATCAAGAATATCATCTCCTTTCCTGTATACTACCCGTATTCACGATAAAACTTGGCTGATGTTTGATAAGAAAAGTTGTTTCATTTATTGTTATCATATCAAGATGGTATTAGTAGTGAAGATTTGTCTTTATTCGCAAGCTTACAGAATGCACACCAAAACTACCTGTTCTCTGAAATTCTAAAATTATAGTATTTTGGACGTCAGTTTAGATTCTTGGAAATTCGTGTTTGATAACATTTTATTTGCACTTTTAAAGCAACTTACAGTTACTGTTTAATCCCAAATTGATGATTTAAAATAAGAAATTTGTACATTTCTCTAATTACGATCATTATCACGTATTACACGTGTAACTTCAGTAGTAAGTACTGTTTGTTTGTAATTAAGTACAAAGCTACACAATGGGCTATCTGTGCTATTCCCACCACGGGTATCGAAACCTGGAATTTAGCGTTGTAATTCCGCAGACATACCGCTGTGCCACTTGGGGTGCTTCAGTAGTAACTACTTAAATATAAAACATAATTCGTTTGTTCTATTTCCTTTTAACAGTAAAAAATTTAAGATTGATATCGTAATATTTTTTTAACATATTGAAAAGGCACTTACAAAACACCTTCAGAATAATCAGGAAAGGTGTTGGGGCATAAAATAGGTGAAGCAAAAACATGATTTACCACAGTAGACTGCTATCTTGTTTCGTTAGGTGGGTTTTTACATTATAATATGCTTTAACATAATATAAATCTACATAAAATTCTACTTTAAAGCTATAAAAGAACAGTTTTTCAACTAATTTTGGTCATTATTGTCTATAGATTTTATACCACACTATTATCTTATAAAAAATACTGCTCTTTTAGTTTTCGTATTCAACATCAGCCACTACTAAAGGTCAGGATTTAAGGTTTTCATACTACCATTTCTGTGATCTACAGATAACGTTCTTCAAGGTTGGTATCAGGTGTAAGATTTTCGTGCAAATCTGCACACAGTCTACCTCCCCGCAATTTAGCAGTGATAGACTAGAGAAAAGGCACCCACTGCCAAATATTAGATATCAGGCCACTCTTGTCTGGCCGATAATGGGATTTTAGCGTGAAAAGTGCGATTTTACAATGCTGGTTTTCCTGCCACTCCTGTGGTCTCTATTCTTGTTCATTTTCTCGTTCTTCTCGTTTCTTCTCTTTTTCCTCCAAC